TATAGTCGAGATTAAGAGTGTCAAAAGTATTTTCAGAGTTCATCTTGTCAAGTTATGGAAATTCTGACACATTATAATAATATGGTTAAATTTAAAGGGGAGGATTGGGTTGAATGATAAAATGAAAAGAATTGTAAGTACAGAGGAAGCTCGCATTGAAATTTTGCTACTAGTAGCTTCCCATGAATGCGTGATTCCTAAGAATTCATTCGTGTAAGCAACTGAAAAATGCGCTTGTAACATCTTCTATTTTTTAGTGTAGTGATTTTTTCTTTTTCCTAAACTTTCTTCATCCAAAATAATAAACGAGAAAAAAAAAAACAGAATTATTGGATGCGGACAATCAATTTTCAGATCGGATGCACTGATAATAATCGAGGCAGTCACATTTAGTGGTCTGGTTTGACCATTCACCATGCAGATTTGACCGTTTTCTAATTGAAATTTAGTGATTTAGTGCTGGGGTTTTACCCTTTATCATATGCTCACTTTTCCCAATAATTTTGAGGCTTTTGAAATTGGTTTGTGAAATTTTGTCCATTGTTCTCAATTAACAGAATAATAAGCTACAAGGTACCTACTACCTATGAGGTTTGGCATCTTGTTCCACCTCAATTTGCCAATTCTCTTGAGGATGATGCCAAGGTAAGTTCAGCAGCTGATCACGATGATCAATTGCCATCTTCTCAAGGGCAACTGCATTTTCTGGATCACTTTGACGACCATAACATCCCCAGCTCCCAGCACTTGGCAAAAACTTGCGATGTTTTAAGAAAGACATGATATGATCAAATTCTTTTTTGGTTAGTTGAAAAGATTATGCATCAAATTATTTTTTGCCAAGTAGAATCTCGAAAGAGTCCCAAAAACTTATGGCTGCATCAGTGAGCTAATCCCAATGAAATGTGCACGGTCTTCGTCCCAATGAAATTACAGTCTATTCGTTCAAAATGTGTTACTTATAGGTGCCCCTCACTGATGCCGGTGCGGGTTTCTGAGAAGCCCAACAATCACAGCTCAAATCATCCAACAGGGATTTTCGGCCTTTCGAAATTGTTTGCTGCCCATATCAATTTCAAGGTCATTTGCAGCTGGATAAGCTTGAATTCGGGCTGCCTAGGGAAATGATAGGGTATTATTTGTTAGCAATTTTATTATTAATTTTTTTTTATTCCTGTCAAATGTTATGTTAATCGTCGATATCTGCTTATACTTGGTATCTGGAATTAATTTCAGGAATTGGAGTAAAAAGTTACAAAAAAGGGGACTTACTCCACAAGCGGGAGACTTCAAAAAAGTCCCATGGACCTGGCCCACAAGGGAGAAAGAAACGGATTAGGCTGAAGAAGTGACAGGGGATTGGAGCGGCAGAACGTTCTTTTGGAGAATTTGGCCCCCTAATTCGTAGGGCCCACCTTGTGCACCCAGCTTCCTCAATCCCGCGGGAGACCACGGACAAGGAAAAGTGAGCAGTGAGCACTAGTCATTCGACTAAAAAAAGAAAGTAACGCACGGAGGCTTGAAAACAAGAAGAATTCGGCGGGCTTGTGGCTAATTTGTGGGGACCACGGAAGATAGGAAAGGCGTTAGTCATCTTTGGCTTTAAAAAGAAACAGACGAATAGGCGGCTCTTATCACTAGCTCTTAGGATAGTTTTAGTTTTAGTTTTTCCTTTCCTTCCCTTTGTCAACTACGCGCCAACTGTTCGAGAATATTTTTCAACGGAAAAAACATCTTTTATTCCTTACTTTCTAGTAAAAAACGTAATGCCTTTACAATCCATTAATTTGCATAGAGATTTATTTATGCGTCATGGCTAAGCCTTTCATTTAGTCAAGGATCAACTCAACGGTGCAGTCCCGAAAATCTGTGAGATCTAATTAGTTTTCACGCGTTCTTTAATTTATTAATATTTACACGTTGTCTACTTGAATTTTCATGAGATTATTTTATTAATTGGATGTCAATGGCCCGATGTTCAATGTGATTTATTAATCTCATGCCAATTTAGTCAATTAAATCCGTAATTATTGGATTGATTAATATTAGTGGCAACTGGTGTGTTTACACATTAGGGGAACGTGCAATGTAATTTAAATAACCCTCGTAGCGTGTTATTGATTAAGGTTAGGTTTTTCTAGTTATTAATGTAATTGGGAAATTAATTCCTACAGTCATACCTAGGAGTTTTTTCTGATTAGGGGTGATCAATGGTCGTACCTTGGTTATCAATAAATTAAGGAAAAATTGATCGTTAGAGTTCATCGGCGACTATAACTAATCTATTAATAAATTAAGTGAACCTCTCTTGCATCAATGATCGGATAAATGGACTGTGCCTGAGTAGTGTATCCTTGGCTAGAATTTAACTATTCTTGATTTAATTCCTGCTATATTCGTGCTAATTAATTATTTATTTTTAGTTGAATTGTTTAATTGTTTTCTAGTTTTATTCTGGTGAAATTCCCCCTTACCCATTGGAATTTAAAAGAGACAAATATTTCCAGTCCCCGAGGAGACGACCCTACTTGTCACTGTCTACTAATTAGTAATTTTTGTCAACTAATTAATTCTAGTATATCGGATTAAGCAAACTCTTCGGAAACAGGGTGAATCAAGTAACCCATTGCACACTTAGAGTCCCTGCTCCAGTACCTAAAATTAATTATTGACTATTTTTAGTAGTATTTAGGTTATTATTATTATTATTATTGAACAGGTTCGACGACCTGTCAGGAAAGCTGCTTTTCATATTGATTAATCAATGGCCTATGAGTCCAGCAACAATCTAAAAGGTCGCACGTAGATGTCTGAGGATTGACCATGAAGACTTGGACAATTTTCTAACTGCAAATTGAGTGATTTAGTCCTCGGATTTTACCTTCCATCAGAGAAATATGCTTATTTTTCCCAATGATTTTCAAAATGACTTGAACCTGATTCGACTGCTTCTACTTGAAATTAGTGATAATAGTCCAGGGATTTTACCCTTTATCGGGAAGCAAATGCTCAGCTTTCCCACAAATTTGAATGATGGATTGGCCTGATTTTCACATGCATGCTGTGAAATATGCAGTACTACTGTGAGGTTGACATTCATCCAGGTCAATGCAAGTGGAAATTGTAAATTAACATGTTTACGGGGTACAATGTAAAGTAGTTAGTTAACGAGCACCGGATAAAGGATAGGAACGGTTGTCTCAAATAATAAATTGCCTAAAATGGGCCAACACTGCTTAATTTCAAATTGTACGGATGAGATAACATCTATATTTTTGACACAACAAACATATGAGACCCGCGCGAAAAGCATATGACTATAGCATCTCTATTGTAAAATGGGCCAACACTGCATTTTCTAGGAAGTACCTAACAAGTTCGAGACCACTTTGACGACCATAACATCCCCCACTTTAGGATGTTGGAACGGACAACCGACACCTTTCTTGAATTTCTGATTGAGTTTTCTTACAATATCCGGGTTCCATTTTACCTTCAGCTCAAACTTCTCCACGTTTGGTGATGTCCTGATCAAAGACGTAAATCCAATGAAGCTAACATCTTCTGATGCTTGATTAGTTAGTAAGGTTGCTTGCTTAGGTAGGCGAGGAAGTTCATGGAGCTTTAATTTTTCATAAGACAAGTAGGTGGATAAGGTAAGAACCTCCAGGTTCAACAGGCAGAGCAGGAAAGCCAAGAAACAGCATCCTTCGCTAAGTAGCCCGGGGGCATTATCAAGCACTAGAGACTAGAGAGTGCGCTTGAGTAATTGCAGTGAGACTAGATTTGTATCCCAGAAAATGACCGATTTTAATTTGGTACAATAAACTATCTCCAGATGTTGCAACATTGCAAGAGATGGACCTGAGACTTGAAGATTTATCAAATCGTAACAGCCTTGCACTACTAGTCACACAAACAAGCAATGGGTAGTTTGTGCAAGTAGAATTTCAAGAATTTTGCCGGACACATTTCACGCCCATCAAACTCAGGGTTCTGAGGGAATTGAACTCAACAGATTCACCAGCATGACCGCTCAGGCCAATGGAGTCAAGTGAAAAAGTATACGCGTTAAAGTAACAACGAAACAGCTCGTCAAACTCTTAACAAGTCCAATTCTAGCCAATCAACTCGCCATGCAAAGGCATACTGAAGCCACTGGTCAATGTTCATGGGAATGTCTGTCCAAATCAAAACAAACCCTGAATTCATCAAGCAATGTCAAGGATTTGTGTGATATATAGCAGCACATTGTTCACCCGCTTAATATACTTGAGCCTTACCCTTTTGCAAATTTGCTATGCTTTTTCACTGATATGGCTTGTATTCCTGCCATCTTGTCTAACGCTTTGGACGCATCAACATCAAGCACTTACTCTCGCTGCAGCTTTAAGCGGCAGAAACGATATAATTCAACGAAGAATATCATCCGGTAGTTCACTGATCACATCCACGACTTGTTGCTCTCTGTTTTTGCACTTCTTCAGGCCATTCATCGATCTAGAATCAGATGCAAGTTTCACCCTTCGGGGCCCCCTCCAGTGACCCTTCGCCCCATCAAGATTAATGCTTTCCCAAAAATATTCTAACCATCAAATCTATATGATTCTTGCTTCCATTTATGTAATTAAGAGAATTCCTAAAAGAATAAAATAGGAATTTAACTAGCTTTGATGCTTCATGTTAGGAGATAATTTTGTGGAAGTTAGTTTCCTTTTACAATGGAAATGTTTATCAGAATATGCGTTGTTCTTAGGATAGGCTTCAGAAATTATGACAACAAAAGGAAAGAAAATTTTAAGTGGTGAATTTAGAAATTAATCAAGTGTTGGTGAGAGAATTTCTTGGAGAATAGTTATTGTATAAACCCATGAATCTAATATTATGAAAAGAGAAGTTATGGAAAAGTAGTAGGCCTCATCAATTCAAGGAATGAAATCTTATTGTCCGTAATTTCATTGATCGCATATATGATGGGATTATCTTATGCAAGTCGCTGATGAAGAGGACCTTAAAAACAGATATTATGGAATGAATTTGCAAATTAGCCAGGGAGCATTATTAATCGTCACAACCAAAAGAGAAAAAAGGAAAAATATAAGAAAGAAACCCCAAAATTTATACACGGGCAGAAGTCGAATTTTATGACCGCAATCCTTAGAAAATAGACAGATTATATATATCCAGGCACTGAGAAAACTACCACCAATTTGTCTTAATTGCTTCTGAATCTTTCACATGGCATGATGGCTCTTTGGCCTTGTTTCTTCAAGATAGACCTGCTGAAAATGAAAAGGGAAACACAAAGCATCAATGCTTGCACATGAGTTATTTACGCAAAAAGCTTTATAGTTAAAGTGCTGATAAATTCGCATGCAGAATTAAAGTCAAAGGGTATCTACGAGATATTAATTTAGGAAGTAAGCAATAGCGGAACCAAGATTTGATAAGAGGGGGAGGGGTGGAGGAATTTAGCATATAAGAAAATCTTTATATGAGTTATCTAGGTAATATATAACAAGTTTTATTTTCATGCTTATATTTAATATATATATATATATTTTTTTTTTAAAAGATAATTTGTACTCCAAATGAAACTTAACATGAATTGACCCTTTTCTTGCTTGCCATATGGTTTTCAAATAGAAAAAAGTAATTATTTGTAAATAATATGGTATTATTCAAACTACATTTTAGATGTTATAAGGTTCAAATTATGATGACGTTAAAAACATTCTTCAAATATGCCTTTTCCTTTCCTGTTTTATTCCCATAAAATGGAAAAAAATCATAAATAAATTTATTTGATTATAGTTTTCCTACTAACATTTTACTGAAAAAGTTTGAAAGTGTACAGTTTTATTTGTTCTTAAAGGAAGTTGATGGAGCAAAAATGTATTTAAAGAGGAGAGAGAATAGAAATATGTTTAAAATGAAACTTTGTTTTTGGCACCCGGGGGTGAAGATATTCAACAAAAGTTTTGAGGGGTAAAAGGAGTTAAAATAAATTATATAGGTCCAAATGAATTGTTTCAAAGGTTTAGCGGGGTGACAGCCCCTGTTGGTGTTCCTGGCTCTGCCTCTAGAAGTAAGTTCTTTTTTTTTTTCCCCTTTTTATCCTCCCACCCCTCCTTACATCTTTTCCTACTTCCAACTGCAAGATTTAGATTTCAAACTCTGAACCTGGCAATGGAGAAAACATCAAAAGCTCCTCCTTGATCATTGGGCCAATCTCAGTGGTTAAGTTTATTACTGTACAGTTGGATGAAAATGCAAAACAAAATTGAAAAAAAGTTGCATACAACCAAAATGATGAAGAAACGAGATTTATGTGCACATAAGGAAATCAAAAACACATGGGAGGTAAATGCAATGAGTAGAGGGCAAAATGTTTTGCTAACCAATTAAGGAAGCTAGTTGTTGTGGAGATCCCTATTCTGGAGGATCAAAGAGGAGCTTAAGGTCAGAGCCAAAATTCTGCTGAATTTCCCTTGCTGAGGTAACCAACTTGGAACTGGTACAATACAGCTCAATTTCTTGGAGAGTGGATATTTCTCCAAATTCAGGTGGGAGAGCCTCAAGGACAGTGCAGTGCCGTAGGAAAAGGCTTTCCAGCTTTGGAAAATGATCAGCTGAAGTCTCCCATACCTTCAAATCTGTATGACCTATATGCAATACTTTCAGATTTGGAAAACCCTCATCTTCTGTTTTCCATCTTTCTCCCTTGAATGCATTGTCTTTCAATTTGATCACCTCAAGCATCTCCAATTTCCCCAGTGTAGACATATGTACCCAATCAAGCGAGGTGTTTAGTAGGGTCAACTTTTTCAGCCTTCTTGGAAACTTGGTTGGTGAAGGAAGTTGTTGTAACTCGAATGTTTGATCAGAATTCAATAGCTTCAGATTTTCAAGCTCTTGCAATCTGGAAAGACTATCAAACAAGCTAGATTCACCTCTGGCATTGAAAAGACCAGCTAATTTCCCACGGATACCCAATTTCTTGAGCTTAGGAGTCCTGTCAAACACTTCTTTCGTGCAACTTTCTGGTGAGATTGTAGAAAGGGTTCGAAGGTTTGAACTGCTCATGGCCTCGTCCTTGGACTTCTGCACACATGCCGATGCATTAGTGTGCAGATGCCTTAGATGAGTCATTTTCCAAATATCTGCTTTTATATCAAGGATAAGAGATGATGTTTCAATGATAACAGTCTGCAAGTTCCAAAGATCCAACATTTTCTCAGGAAGGACCTTGAAATGACAACAGATGGCAATATACTTCAGAAGAATAAGCTGAAATAGGCCCGAAGGAAAACGAGTGAGAATTATTGATCTGATTTCCAGAACTCTAAGCAATTTGAAGGCCCTAGGGATGGATGAGACATATTCTACAGGCATAGGGATTTCTTCCTTGGCAAAGCAGAGAAAAGAGCGGACATGTGGACCAAATGGTCTTGATCCTATGTAATCTAAAACAGAATCATTAACACATATGCGGCGGAAAGCATCCGAAGAAGAGCTTACAGATTGGGAAAACTCTTTCATTTCATGGAAAAGATTTTCTTTTCTTGCCTCCATCTTGCAAAAGTCACGCAATGTGTCATGAATTCGACAAGTTTTAATACGACCATCCGAACTTCTGCGTCCCACCATCACTAAATTCTTGTCAACTAGGTCCATCAAGTAATACTCCGCTAGATCTTCTAAGCTAATACTTTGATGGCTTCCTATAAAACCTTCAGCAATCCATAATCGCAGCAATCTCCAGACAGGGATATCATAGTCTTCTCGAAAGACCCCCATGTAGAGAAAGCATGGTTTTAAGTGGTGAGGCAAGTTATTGTAACTCAATTTGATTACATCAAACATTTGCGACATATCCCTTGCAATATATTCTGTCATACCTTCAGATACCCTCTCCCACCAGCGAAGGTTGTGTCTATGATTCAACAGTATACCTGCTAGTACGACAATAGCTAACGGCAATCCGCCGCATCGCTGCAGAATGCGTACTTCATGTTCCTCGAGCTCTTCTGGGAGTTCACTCTGACCGAAAACCTTATGCCGTAGTAACATTCGACTTTCCTCTGGATGCAGAAATCGCATATAATAGGGTCCAATCTCTGCATTAGCATGAAGTGCTACAGATTTGTTTTGGCTAGTTATAACCACTCTGCTGCCGTTACCATCGTCAGGAAAAGCACGCTTGAGATCATCCCATGCTTCCGTGGTCCAAACATCATCCAGCACAATCAAGTACCTCATCTTCTTTAATTGCATATTAATTAGTTGCGCCAAGTCTTCGTCTGGCATTTTTTTCCTTTCTTCAGTGACATGGCCAAAGCTGTTGAGAATTCTCAGGAGCACTTCCCTTCTATTGTATTCTTGAGAAACATTAACAAATGCTCGAAGATGGAAATTATATGCAACTTTTGAATCATTGAATATCTTTCTAGCTAGTGTTGTCTTCCCCAGCCCAAACATTCCAACAATTGAGATTACCTGTAGCCGCCGTGGTCCCCGAGTGAGAAGGTCGATCATTTTTTGTGACTCATCCTCAAGGCCAATGACATTTTCTTCCTCCACCATAACGATCTATTACATGAGGAGAAAAGTCATCAAAAAGAGTTGATGCCAGTTCAGGATGAAACAAGATTAATCAGGTACATGCAAACACAATTGAATGGTGAAATGATCAAATACGAATAAAACAGAACTAGAAATTACTAGTCTTCCACCATAACCATAAAAAGAAATTGATTGGTTGCAATGGGTCTTGACGCTATTAGGTATAGCAATGATATTGGGAGGGGCCAACTCTTGTCGGAAAACCCAAATGTTGCAAATTTTCAGGTAATCGAAATCTTAGTCAATATCTAATTAAATCAATCAGTTTGAATTTTTAAGTTGCAGTCACCAACCTTTTTTGCCCTCTGCTTTAATTGTTTAGGTTGACAAACCATATAGGTAACAAAGTAACATCTTATACCATCAACAGAGTCAGATCTAAATGGTAGTTCTTGCTCAGAAGAGTACAAGAGGATTCACTAGTACAAATAAATGAACAGCTCGCACCCATATACGTATGTCGCCATTTCTGATTCTAGGAAAGCAGTGACAAAAAGGATAAATTTTCTTGCAAAGAATTTCTGGATTTTGGTAGGAGTGAAAAGTTGGACAAAAATTTAAAAAAAAAATGCTGTATTCATTTCTTTTATTGGCGTATTTTCCTTTTCTGTTTCCATCCCAAAATTCATAATCCATACTTACAGAAAATGAAGCAAGCTGTCATTTACCTTTTCCCTCTTTGGACCCGTGCTGGAGGCTTCAACAATTTGCATAGATTCAATCCCAAGAGGCACCATGTTCTTGTAGATGTCCCGCACATACTTGGTCACTTTCTCGATCTGTTTCCTCCCACGTCGAAGTTCTGATGCATCATCAACGGCGTGGAGAGCCCTACTGATTGAACTCCTACGTTTTTGCAAGGAAACACGAACTATGTATGTCTCTATCGCATCCTCAGCATCATAAACCACAGACTTGATCTCGCCGACCACGTTTTCAAGGACTGCGCTGTTGGTTTGCTTCTGTGTACAGTCCTTGATGAAGGCTTTCAGAAGCTCAAGATCTTTGCCAAGCACTTCAACGTTGTCCTTCACTCCACTGATCAAATCAGATTGGTATTGGATTAACTCCTTGAGATTTCCTAACAGAAATTCCACTGCACTATCTGGAACATTAGCCATATTTCTTCTTTCTTTCTCTCGGGAGGTTTGGGAGTGAACAATTTGAGAGTACTATTCTTTCAACTTTTTCTGAACCTTGAAGTGGTTACATGAATAATGTGCATTGAACTGGAAAGTTGACTCGGCCTTGGAGATGGTATAATAAAGGGCAAATTATCTGATTGGCCCTTGAACTCTTTGTCTAGGTAAAAATAAGCCCCTCATCTATTTTTTGTTGACTTTAAGCCCTCGAACTTGATAAATTGGGTACCCGTGACCCTTTTAGCCAGTTTCTTTGATTTTATAAGTGGAAGGCCTATTCACACGAATGCCAGTGTGCTTTTTCAAAGGGTATTTTTGTCCGCATCTTCTAAGCAAAAAGGGAACCACCCATCCCCGCCCCTCCCGCCCCTTTCTCTTCTGTTGCTTCTCCTCCTTCTCCACCACCTCTCCTGCCTCCTCCCTCTCCCTGATATCTTTGCCACTATCACCTCCCCCTCCAACTATTTTAGCCCCCAAGAGACAACGCCGCCCCAGTGTTCGATTAGGTGAAATCGGCCACCAATCTTTCGAAAATCATTCCTACCATCCTCGTCGCCCCTCCAAAACTTGGCACTTCCATAGAGACCATTCTCTCGCTGCCAAAACCTCCAAGTCCCGACCTTTAACCAACCTCGTCAACTGTGCTGCCCCCTGCCCCCGACCGCAGCTACCACCACGATAACACCAATAGTTACGCCTTCGACTTCTGCACTAAAAGGACCAAGACCAAGAAGCCCGCCACCAAGCAGGTCAGGTCTAATTGGGCTTCCGCTCCCAAATTCGAAGCTGTCGTACCCAACGGAGGTTTAATGCTTCCCCAAAACGAATAGGGATTTACGAATAATCAACATTTGATTAAAAGTTAGAACTTTTTTATTGTTTAACTTGGATTTGGGTATTACATTAGAGTTTGACTTGTTTGGATGAAAAGGGGTAAGGAAAATGCAGTGTGGTTTGTGTAATGCCCGGTGCAACCCAATGAGTACAAACAATTTCACAATAATGCACAAAGATATATCAAATTTAAGCACAATAAAGAAAACTTAATTAAAGAGAAAAGATAAGAAATGCAAACCAAATATCAATCCAATAGCCTCTTCAATTGATGGCGATGCTAACCAAGATGTACAAGTGAAGGTTCACTCCTTCCTCACCCCAAACACACTTTGGTTGAGCCAAGGAGTTTTACAACTATTCTAGTTAACCCTCAACAACCTACACTTGAAAGATCACTCACCCAATTAAGAACTATTTTACACAAATGAGGCAACCTTCACCAAGGTTTTACCACTCCAAGTGATAGGTTCACCTTCACCAAGGTTTTCACTTGAGCAACCTCACAACCCAACTTTCCCAACCCCTTATACAACCAACAAAGAATCTTTCTACTCAAAAATCTCACTTGTAAGCTTGTATTTTGTGTTGGCAAAAGTCTCTAGTCTTCTTGTGCTTTGGGATTTTTATAGAAGGTGAGAAATGGCTCCAAAAGACTCTTCAACGGTCAAATATTAAATGCTGTCAAAACTAGCCGTTGGCCTGTCGGACGTCCGACAGGTGCCTGTCGGACGTCCGAACCACATGTCGGACGTCCGAACCCTGCGTCCGAACGTAGGCAGAGAGTCATCAAATCTTTGCGAAATTTCTCGGACGTCCGATGCGATCGATGTGCGTCCGAGGCGTGCGTCCGATCCTTCCGGACGTCCGATGCTTCCTCACGAGCGTCCGACAGAGTTTCCTTCTTGATGTTCTTCATCCTTTCGGACGTCCGATAGCGTCCGACATGAGTGCCCTGTTTTTGCTTCTTCTTTTATGCCACAAGAATCTGTTCTAACAAATTACTCACATAAAAACATTAGCCCAAATCTACATTTTGGTTTGATAATCATCAAAACCAAGGATTGATCGACCAAGGTCAACAATCTCCCCCTTTTTGATGATGACAAACAAAATGAAGATTTCTTTTATCAAATAAATTCAAATAAAGCTCCCCCTTAGAAAGTGCCAACATACAAAGAAATTTCAATAAATCCTACTCCCCCTTTTGGCATCAATAAAAAACAAACTCCCCCTTTATTTTTCAAATCAAGACCATATTGAATATCAAAATTTTCAATTGTACTTACAACCATATAGCACATCTTGGATCAAATCATCATGATGTGCCTAAATATGAGAAATTTCATTTGGTACCATTTCTTTATAAGGTCCTTGGGAGTTAATACGACATGATCTAGCAATCCACATGGATTTCATGCCTTTTCTCATATTTTTCTTTACATAGCAATCATTTTGCATATGTCCAAATTTGCAACAAAAGTGACACATGATAGAAGTATTTTGCACATAGGTGGATTTAATGCAACTAATTTTCTTACTTCTTATCATAACAAACTTATTTGTGCCTTGAAAAGATTTGCTTTCTTTTGTTTGAGAAAACTTTTGTTTTTCATTTTGGAGAAACTCGTTCAAGTCATTAATTCTTTTCTTTAACAAATTTTGTTCCTCCAACATTTTTTCATAAAACTTTTTTGTCTCTTCCAACTTCCTTTTCAAAACATTTTTTTGATTTTTTAAATCATCATTTTCCATTCTCAAACATTTGTTTTCTTGAAAAAGTTTGGAGTTTTCTTCCAACAAATCATTTATTTTTGTTTTCAAATCTTTATTTTTAGCATAAGATTTTCTCAAACTTTTATGCATTTTAATCATAAGAATTTTCACATCATCATCTTCATTATCTTCATCACAAGAAGAGTGATAAGAACTTACCTCATCTTCTCCAACGGCCATTAGTGCTATTTGGGCCAACTCTTCTTTTTCTCTTTTTGAATTGCATTCATCCCATGTAACTTTGCAATCTCCTCTTGAACATCTCTTGTTGAAAATCTTCTTGAAACTTTTGATGTGAGAAGTTATATCATTGTCCACTTCCATGATTTCATTACCCATGAAGGATGGGTTATCCCCCACTTGAGATGCTTTAAAAGCTATGCCTCTCATATACATTCTTGCATTTTCTTCCTCTTGCACTTTGAGTTTCAGTTTTAATTCATAAGAGGTTAGGGAATTCACAAGAGATTCAATGGACATAGAATTTAAATCCTTTGCCTCTTCTATAGCATTTATTTTGTTTTTCCATTCTTTTGGCAAGGCATTCAAAATCTTTCTATTTTTCTCACCCAAAGAATATTTTTTTCCAAGCAATTTAAGATCTTCAATAATGTCACAAAATCTACTACACATCTTATCAACATTTTCAAGAGGATGCATTTTGAAAAATTCATATTGAGAAACAAGCAAAGATTTCTTTTGTTCTTTAAACTCTTGGTTACCTTCATGAAATACACACAATTTATCCCAAATATCTTTAGCAGATTTACAACCTTTAATCCTACTAGATTCATTTACATCTAATGCATTGTACAATATACACATGGCCTTGGCATTCAAAGAAAGGTATCTCTTGTCTTTTTCATTCAATTCTTGTCTAGTCTTTAATCTACTCAAATTGGTGGTGGAGTCAACTATTCTAGCTTCATAAGGACCATCTTCTACCACATACCATAATTCAATATAAACGGATTGTAAGAAAATCATCATTCTTTGTTTCCACATGCTAAAATGAGAACCATTAAACATAGGTGGTCTATCAATAGATTGCCCTTCTAAAAAAGAAACTTTTATGGTTGCCATGATCTTTACTCTAAGCGGTTAAGCTTGATCAAAAGAGACCAAGCTCTGATACCAATTGTAATGCCCGGTGCAACCCAATGAGTACAAACAATTTCACAATAATGCACAAAGATATATCAAATTTAAGCACAATAAAGAAAACTTAATTAAAGAGAAAAGATAAGAAATGCAAACCAAATATCAATCCAATAGCCTCTTCAATTGATGGCGATGCTAACCAAGATGTACAAGTGAAGGTTCACTCCTTCCTCACCCCAAACACACTTTGGTTGAGCCAAGGAGTTTTACAACTATTCTATTTAACCCTCAACAACCTACACTTGAAAGATCACTCACCCAATTAAGAACTATTTTACACAAATGAGGCAACCTTCACCAAGGTTTTACCACTCCAAGTGATAGGTTCACCTTCACCAAGGTTTTCACTTGAGCAACCTCACAACCCAACTTTCCCAACCCCTTATACAACCAACAAAGAATCTTTCTACTCAAAAATCTCACTTGTAAGCTTGTATTTTGTGTTGGCAAAAGTCTCTAGTCTTCTTGTGCTTTGGGATTTTTATAGAAGGTGAGAAATGGCTCCAAAAGACTCTTCAACGGTCAAATATTAAATGCTGTCAAAACTAGCCGTTGGCCTGTCGGACGTCCGACAGGTGCCTGTCGGACGTCCGAACCACATGTCGGACGTCCGAACCCTGCGTCCGAACGTAGGCAGAGAGTCATCAAATCTTTGCGAAATTTCTCGGACGTCCGATGCGATCGATGTGCGTCCGAGGCGTGCGTCCGATCCTTCCGGACGTCCGATGCTTCCTCACGAGCGTCCGACAGAGTTTCCTTCTTGATGTTCTTCATCCTTTCGGACGTCCGATAGCGTCCGACATGAGTGCCCTGTTTTTGCTTCTTCTTTTATGCCACAAGAATCTGTTCTAACAAATTACTCACATAAAAACATTAGCCCAAATCTACATTTTGGTTTGATAATCATCAAAACCAAGGATTGATCGACCAAGGTCAACAGTTTGACTTATAGGGGGGATGATATCGGAAGGCTGGAGGTCAGCCATGTGAGATGTTTCAAACAAGTGAGTGAGAGAATAGTAGAAAAAAGCATAGTGGAAGGAGGAGGAGAAGGACAGGTGGGAGAGGTGGAGAAGAGAGCAGAAGTTTGCGGGAGGGAATCTAGTGGCGTGACTACTTCAGTTCTACTACCACTACCTGGGCACCGTGTTGTGCTATTGAAAGTGGTTCTCCAGTCCGGTTGTCCTTCTAACCCTTTTACCCCCTTTCCTATCGTAGTTCGACTTGTTTGGGCGGTGTGTTTCAACTTGTTTGGGCAGGTAAAATATCGTAGTTCGACTTGTTTGGGCGGTGTGTTTCAACTTGTTTGGGCAGGTAAAATGGAAGGAAGAATGAGGAGTTGTTTTCTTTTTGCTTAGAATATGTGGACAAAAATGCCCTTTGAAGAAACACATTGGCATTCGTGTGAATTTGCCTTAGGCTTGCAAAATCGGAGAAACTGGCTAAAAGGGTCACGGGTGCCCAATTTATCAAGTTCGAGAGCTTAAAGTCAGTGAAAAATAGATGAGAAACTTATTTTTACCTAGATAAAGAGTTCAAGGGCCAATCAAATAATTTGCCCTATAATAAATGTTTCTTTACACAGCAGGTTTTAGATCAGGACGAATACGTGTGAGTAAAACTTTGATGGCATCAGGCCATTAGGCGGGCCTTCCCCAGTCCTGGACGCCACTAGCTGATAATTAGTACATTTTCCAATTTTTTAATGGATTAGTTTAAGTTAATTGTTACCCTACATTAGCTCCAATGACGGAGCTAGGGAGGCATGGCATCTTGTAAGTTTTGAAAATTTTAATTCAAAATATGTAAATATATGTATAAAATAAAGTTAGCTCCCTCTAATTTTTTTTATAATTTTAATTTGTATTATGAAAGTTTATATATATATATATATGTATGTATATATGAATTAGCCACCTTTGAATTAATTTTTGTCTTCAAAAAAAGTTATTTATTTTTATTGTGACAATTATTTAACTCTCAAAAAAAATTAATCATAAAATTTGATGATCCATAGTATATTGATCCAATTTGACATATTATAATAAAAAAACCCAATTCATAATTATCAATGGGTTACATCAGAAACAATTACTGTGTTGGCTAGTATACAAATATACAATTTAGCTCAATTGATTAGACTTGCTTATCTTCTTCTTCATCCAATTACAGAACAGGCATTTTCAATTATGAAAATAATCAAGACAAAGTTTCGAAACAAGATGAAAGATAATTTCTTAAATGATATATTGCCTAATTGTGTACATAGAAAAGGAAGTTGCTGGAAAATTTAGCACTGATTCAATCATAAATGAATTTAGTTATATGAAAGAACGTAAAACTCATTTTATTTTTAAGAAAAAGGTTAAAATTTCAAAGTATGTTTTATCTTTTTTTTTAATTAAAAAAGTTACTTTTATATCACATAGTTATATATGTGTGTGTGTGTGTCTATATATATATATATATATATATATATATATATTGCATAGGCGACATATTGGAGTACGTTCTCATAATGTGCAACTTGGATGGTTTGTGATGTTATAAAATATTTAATCAAAGGTTATTTCTTATCTTAATTTTCATTATGACTGTGTTGCATATTTATAAAATAAACATACCTTTATAATTAAAGTTGATATTTGATATTTTTAGATGTCATATATTTAAATAGATGAAAATTATTTTGAACATAATTTATTAAAATAATTTTGTTAGGGAAAATTTTGACTCCCTAAGAAAAAGTCCCTGGCTCTGTCACCGATTAGCTCAGACCATGTTAACTTTGTGACAATCAAATTGGATTAGTTTTAAAGATGAATAGTTTGGTTTACTCTTAATCTTGCACTTTTATTTAATAATCTTTGCCGTACGAAAAGCATAGTACGCTGTGTTTATCAAAGAGAAAAAAAAATTGAAAAATATAAGTGTCACAGATCATGTTTTAATTTTTTTTTTCCCCTTAGTAGGGGAGGGGCGAGAATAGTGAGAAAAAAATTTGAAAAACTAGTGAGAGCGTACTTTGGATGTTGTAAAGACATTTCTTCGTAGAATTTGTACCATTTTCAATATACGAGTCGAAGGTGTTTCATATTTGTGTGATTAATAGTAATCTCATCTTCTCTCACACACAAATATTTGTCAATGTCCAAAGAGGCAGCTGCGGACTCCCGTAGAAAAGCCGTCTTGGCTTTTGTCAAAAAACTTTTTCGTCAATCTAACTTTGTTGTTTGATTTCCAGTAATTTCGATTATTGAAAAAAAAAAAAACTTTTTCGTCAAAGGGGCACTTGACTCACATATGATTTCATGTGCTAACACACAGTTTTTACGAAGTGGAGTCAAAGATCAAAGTCATGATTTCATTCTAGAATTTGTTTAACGGATTTATAGAAACTTGGATTAAAATTGACAATAATATCTACCTGAATCATCATATTAGAATCTTAATGCCAAAGGATAATTATAAAATAAGGAACAAAAATGAGGACAACAATAATTAAACATTTTTGTTAATTTGTACCCTTTCATTAACTAAACTAATACTCATAAGTTTGTAAATAAGTCATATTGAAAAAAATTGTGCATATATTAAAATTAAGAAAGACTGCATTATTATAAGTTATATTGAACAAATTAACCAAAATACTAACAAATTCAACTCACATGACATGAAAAATAATAATCTTGTAAATAACATTTATGCAAAAATTTTTTAAAAAAATTGGCATGATAATTCAGGCCACCAGAAAGCAAATCAAAATCCAAATCTAACAATCTCAAATCCAATTCACATGGCATGGAAAATAAAAATCTCGTTTTTCTTGGCATGGCAATTCATGCCAACCAAAATCCACATAAAAAACAAAAAGGGTAATCCCATTCAGTTATAGTTTTGAATTTTTTCGCACTTAGGAAAAAAATTAGTAACAACAAATAAAAAAGCAATAAGAGTACCATTCAAAATTTTGACACTTATAGCGAAGTCTTTAGTTTTTGGTCATATTTTATATTTTCAATTATGAATTTTACTTTCAGTTGGAAGAAGACACGTCACGACAAAGTAACCTAGAATGACCCTCCTATGGTTTTGCCATATGACCCCTCTAACGTTTCAAAATGTCCACTTCACTCACTTATAGTTTTATATAAAGTGAAAATTTGATCAAAAATAATTATGTAACGTCGTTAGTTGATATATCAATAGTGCCCTTACTTAAATGCTAAATTAATCAACGGCCTAACCACCATGTATAAAAATATAAGGGGATTATGTGAATAAATGCAAAAATCAGAGAGGCTATAGTGAATATTTATACAAATTATAAGTGGGTTACATGAATATTAAGGTTTTATTACACGCGCTTTTAAAGAGCATTTGGTATAAACATCATAACTGATTGTGTGTTCCATCAATTTTTTCACTTTACATAAAATCACAAGAGAATTATGTGATTATTTTAAAACCATAGAGGAGTTATCTAACATTCTATAAAATCACAAGGGGGTAATGAGTAATTTGCCCCTAAATTTACTAACAAATCACAAGGGTTAAATTGTAAGTTTTCAAATCATAAAACTTTTATATATACAATCGCTCAGGCATAGAACGGTTTCCATATTTCACAAAAGATTTTCACTAATGCCCTCCCTGTATTCACATTTAATTGAGTGGATGAGGCAGATGAAGCTAAAATACCGAGAATACAATTTTCATGCGATCAAGTGTCATCTGAAGACCAAAAAACAGAACACTAACTTGAAATTACTGAGCCAGGTGAAAGACAGTACTAATCTTGCATACACTATTAGTGTATCAATTATTAGTTTTGAATAAATAACAACTATATCAAATTTTAATTTAAAATTTAACCTTTATACATATGTTATGATTCAACAGTAGGTCAGTGTACATATAAGACTTACTCGTGAAAGATGTCCAAAAAAGAGAATTTAGATCACCGGAAAAAGAAACAAAAGAGATAAAAATTTACACCAAGCAGGAGTGGCTTGCATATTTACAATCTGAAATTTTGTGAATGCAAGACTAGCTCTCCATGACAATCAAATAGTTGAGAGAATGAAAAAGATTTTGATCTTTTGCACAAATTATGCTCAGCTGAGATTTTTTAATTTCCAGGTCAGCTTGTGAATTCTTCAAATCCTGAAATGTTCTTCAACTTGATTGTCTCACCATCAACGGGCTGAGCAAAACGATACAGATATTTGATATCATCCTGCGTATTCAATCAAAGAAATAAGACAATTCTTTATATTCAAAGGAAAAAGAAAACAGGAGTGATAAAGGTAACCAGGCTTCCCCTTTGATTTTGGAATCTAAGCAAGGGAAAAATGAAATTATTATCAGCAATACTGATTGTCTGGTGAAAATGCAAGTCCTGTACTAACTTCCTTCCTAGGAATAAGCTGACAAGGAAACAAAATGATGCAAAAGAGCAAAAGGAAATAAGCAGAATAACATATGCATAGCATTATAGCAAGGTGATATGGGAACCAAGAAAGAGAAAACTAATAGTATGACTCACATTAATGTCACTGACCATTGAAGAAGTAATGATTCAGCTTGTTCACCTTGCCATCAATATTCAGGAGGATAAACAGAAAGCTTAAATGAGCTATCTTTGCTGCTTTCTTGCTCTGCTTTTAATCGAAGTTTTAGAAGCTCAATCCTCTTAGCTGAGCTAGCCACTGAACGATTAGTACAATAAAGGTCAATCACTTGGAAGCTTGATATATCTCCAAGACCAGATGGGATGGCCTCAAGCCTATCACAGTGTCTAAGAAAGAGGGATCTCAATGATGGGAAATTACTAGCTGAAGCTTTCCACACAACTAAATCTGTGCGGCCTATGTGCAGAACTCTGAGGCAACGAAAACCCCCATCTTCTGTGTCCCAATATCTTCCAAGAAATGCATTATTCTTCAACTTGAGCACTTCAAGAATCTGCAGCTTTCCCAGTATAGACATATATTTCCAATCAAGTGAGGTATTTTCAAGTGTCAGCCTCGTTAAATTCCTGGGGAACTTGTACTCTTGAGGAAGGGAGTCTAACCTGGTGGTTGTGTCTTCATTCAGAAGCTTCAAGTTTTCAAGGAAATTGAGTCTAAACAAGCTGTCAAATATCTCCTCTATAACAGTTCCTAATCTCCCACGAATGCCCAATTTCCTGAGATTTGGAGTCCTTTCAAACACTTCCCTTTTACAACATTCAGGTGATATCATAGAGAGAGTTTGAAGGTTTGGATTAATTAAGCTGTCTTCCTTACCTTTTGGTATGGATGTGGAGCAGTTAGTATGTAAATGCCTTAGTTGTGGCATCTTCCATATGTCAGCTTTTATTTCGAGGGCTCGCAAGGATGTATCTATTATAATTGTTTGTAGGTTCAGCAGAGTAGATAGCTTTCCAGGGAAGACTTTGAAGTGGCAAGAGATTGCAATGTACTTCAATAGCAAGAGGTAAAAGAATTCAGCTGGGAAACGACTAAAAATGATGGATCCAATGTCTAAAACTTTCAATAGTTTAAATGCCTTAGGGATGAATGAGATATGCTCTTGAGGTAACTGAATTTGTTCCTTGGCAAAGCTCAGAAATGATCGAACATAATCACCGGTAGGTTTTACTTTAATATGCTCTAGGTTATGGGGATGAATGCAAAGGCGACGGGCATTGTGAGAAGAAGAGTAAGGTGCAGAGGTAGATTCATCAAACCTTTTTATTTCTCGGAAAATATTTTCTTCCACAGCCTGTTTCTTGCAAAAATCTTGCAACATGTTGTTCATACGACATGTTTTAATTCGGCCATCTGATCTCTTCTGCCCGATCATCACTAAGCTCCGATCGACCAATTCCTGTAGGTAAAACTCTGCCACATCCTCCATGTTCATGAATCTTTGGTGCTCTATGAACCCTTCAGAAATCCACAAGCGGATTAACTTCCATGCTGGGATTTCAAAGTATTCAGGAAAAACCCCAAAATAGAGAAAGCATGGCTTCAAGTTGTAGGGCAAGTGGTTGTAACTCCTCCTAATCACATCATTGCCTAGTTCATCATTCTTGGCAACATAATCATGCACATTTTCAGCCACACTCATCCACCAATGTGTAGCTTTGCTGTTATTCCGGAGTATCCCAGCAACTACTACAATTGCTAGAGGTAATCCAGCGCATCTATCCAGGATCTTGGCCTCGTATGCCTGTAGTTCTTCGGGGCAATTATTCCCATCAAAAACTTTATATCGGAGCAGCTCCCTACTTTCTTCTGGTGACAGGAATCCCAAGTAATAGGGTTCATTTTTTGTATTGGCATAATGAGCTACAGCTACATTTCGAGTAGTTATTAACACTCTGCTACCCTTCTTGTTGTCAGGAAAAGCAGACTTCAATTTGTCCCATGCATCATTGGACCATAGATCATCTATCACGATCAAATACTTATATTTTAGACGCTGTCGCACTTCATCAGCTAATGCATCATCTGACATCCTATTCATTGCTTCATCGATACGAGTAAATGAAGTGAGAATACTCAGGAAGACATCTTTTCTCTCCCAATCTTGAGAAACATGAACGAATACTTTTGTAAAGAATTCATAGTCAATCATTGGGTCACTAAGGACCTTTCTGGCTAATGTTGTTTTGCCGATCCCAGGCATCCCAACGATTGAGATTACCTCCAATTGGTCTGATTGTCGCTGCGATCTACCTGTGAGAAGTTCGATTACATCCTTGGCCGAATCCACGAAGCCAATCACTTTGTCTGCCCCGAACAAAGGAGTCTGTTGCCAACAGACAGAAAATTATAAGACATTGAAAGCTGAAAGCACAGAAGAAAATGACCAACGATAAAAAACTATACAGCAAACTAGGGACTCACAAGTGCATTTTCAAGAAATGGGAAACTAAGTCTAGTTATAAAAAAATTCTTGGCAATTTTGACATGCTACACCCATGTCAGTGGTCATAAACCAGCAAGCTGACACATAAGTTGCAAAACTGCTGGTAAATCATAAAAGTTTTCAATAGCCAAAATCACCTAACTCTATCATACAACACATTCCTGCTGGGCTGTTGAACCCTTTCTCCTAAATAAAGTAGTGAATGATGCACCAAAAGGGATGCATCCTAAAACGTCGACCAAATGTAATGTTTTAGTCCCATTATTTCTTTGTTCTTATGTAATACAGAAACCATATAATGTAAGGCATGGTCCGTCAATGTCTACTTAGACAAAATTTATACCAGGAATTATATGTTGACACCAATGAAAGATAAAATTGAGTTTAAGACGATGATTTGAAAAAAAAAATATTAAACAACAAACTAGTTTGATGAGAGAAGAATGAGTAAATTCCATAAGCAGAATCTTTATTAGTTGATGCTGGCATAAAATTGCTTTCAATCAAGGAGATATCATTGCACTAACAGCCCTTCATATCACATCAATCATATTACTGGTCTTACCTCAAATTAATCATACCAGTATATTGCCTATCTATGTGATCAAATTGATCTATAACCATTTTAAAGCTGAGGGAGACAAAATACAGTCGCATTATTATGTAGTGCTGGTATAGGAAGGTGGCCTTTTACCTGTTTCTTGGTTCTCATATAGGAGATCTCATCAAATTGCAAGGCATCAAGGCCAATGCTCGGCAAATCGCTTCGTTGAATGTTCTGTACTTGCGCACGTACTTGTGCAATCCGTTTCCCCAAACTGCGAAGCACAGACGCGCTCTCAGTCGTGTGAAAAGCTCTGGCAAGAAAGCCTCTGTGTCTTTGATTAGACGCATGAAGTATGTATGTGTCAATTGCATTTTCAGCTTCAAAAACAACGTCCCTGATTTCGTTCTCCAAGTTCTTGATGGCTCCCTTGTCCTTCTGCCATTCAGGGTAATGCTTGATAGAGGCTTTCAACACAGCAAGATCATCGCACAAGCCCTTGAGGTCATTGCTCATGGCTCTTCCGATTAAATCAGTGTTGTATGAAATTGTCTCCATCATGTTGCCTAAGAGAATTGCTAAAGCAGGAATATCAGCCATCGTTTTTCTTGTCTCTCCTCTAGAGTTGAAATTGACTTAGATTTCTTCAAGTTCTTGCCCTGAAGTATGAAGAAGAAAAAAACCTTTTCAGCAGAAAATAGTAGCAAATGAACGTTGACCGAAGGCCAAGCAAAATATTCAGTGCTGCAAAAGCTACAGCAGGTTGAGCTAGTAAAAACAGTAAAAGCTATATTACAACTTCATAATACATATTCAAACGCAAAATTTCGTATTGGTTTACATCTCATAAATGTACCTCAAAAACATATATATTATCATAAGATATAGTTAACGTATAAGACACACGAAAAATTTTTCCCTGTAGTTTACTTCATTAATAATTCTCACCTTATGAAAAAATTTTAAAGGTTTCAACTGAATGTTATGGTCTAAAAAACATTTTTATAGTCAAGAAATTAAGTAAACGAAATGGCTATTTATGGTCATTAGATATAAGATAAAAAAAAAATAGTAACTACCTTTAGAAACTTTCAAGAAGGGCATTTTTGTACAAAAAAGTTAACAATATATATATATATATATATATATATATATATATATATATATATATATATTGATTGAATCTTTGTTAGAAATAAGACACATTGTGTAACTACCTAAAACTTTGTTTGGTGGGGAGTAAATTGAAACTAGCCTTTAGCTTTACAGATGTAGTCGCAATTAAATATATACCAAAAGCAATGGAAATTAATTTGCCATTTAGTTTGCAATTTTCTAGTTTTTATTTACCTATGAATCGATATCTGTAATTGCGCCAATTTGTATTTTATATCCTAATTTTTAGTCAAGCTTTGGAGAAGATTTTGTTCAATATGCACAAGTATAATAGTTAGTAAGTTTCATTACACTTTTTCTTCATCTGATCCTTAGTAACACTACTTTGTCCTTGTACCCAAAAAAAAAAAAAAATTTGTCCAAATGAACTTTAGATATGTACATCGTATCCCCTTCTATGATCAATCAAATATTTGAAACAACCTTTCCGTCCATGAACTTGTTGAAATGAAATTGGTGCCCCAAGACAACACTAGTATGGATGATGCTACATTTCAGACCAAAATATGCAAGGTCTTAATGGATTAAAAGTACTGCACTTAGGTCATGTCATATAAAGTAAATATATAAGAAAAAATGATAGAATGGAGAAGAATTGACTAGGACTTGTAAAAGCAAATGTAGAATTTTCCGAAAACAACTATATTAACTTTGATCTGTTCTTCTCCCTTCATCTAGATTATCAACTAGAGGTGGCAAAATGGGCGGGATGGGCGGGATTTGCTTGGATTTAAGATGGAACCGAATCATATAGGTTTGGGCCCAACCTTACCCATATATGTTTTGGGACTAACTTGGGCGGGATCACTTTGGGATGTGTTTAAATTGATCCCGCCCAATACCCAAATTTATTTTCTACATATTTTTTTCTTTAATTTATTTTTTATTTTTTATATAATTTTAATATTTTTGATTTATTAAATTTCTTTTAGTTTTATTAAATAAACATGCAAGTGCTTTATACTCAGGATTATCACCAAAAATTGGATTAACAAATAAAGGAAAAGATAGATATACAATCGTGACTATAAAAATTGTTAAAGATAATTTTTTAATCTAAGACTCCGTTTGGAATGGCTATTTTTTCAAAAAATAAGTTTTTCAAATACAATGTTACAGTAATATATAATAACTCAAAAAACATCCCATCCATATTAGTATATCTCAAAAAAATTTTATAGTAAAAATTTTTTATATACACTACTACAATAAAATATTTCATAAACACCCCCCAAAAATAGTTAATCCAAACGGAGCCCTTGCTATTTGAGCCCAATGGGTACCCAAGCATTTTCCAAAATTTTCCATCAATTAATGGGTACAATTGGGATTTGTCCCATTTTAAACCCAATATCAAATTCCAATACCCATCCTGCCCAAAGTTTCAATGGGCATGGGTAACCCATTGGGACTTGGGACAAATTGCCACCTCTATTATCAACCAACTAGAATTCATTGTCTCACAAACCTTATACTTATAAGATCCCTTCAATATTCTCCCATGATTCTCATGAATTTAGGTGGTGCGAATTGGTACATTTGTGCCACATTTGCACCCTATTTAATTATATATATATATATATATATATATATATATATATATATGAGCATTGCGATGAGTATATTGAGATTAGAGTATATTGAGATTAGCACTTTTACTTGTTTGCACTTCTATGCAATTTTTCTAATTTTTTGTTGTTGCTAAACTCCTTTTATTTAGTATGAGTGGGAGGTTTTGAATTCGAGATCTCTCACTTACATGCTCTCCCTGTATATCACCCAATTCAACCCTTCTCCCTACTCTACTTTAATTTCTTCTGCATTTAATCTATGTTCTAGCCAAATATAAAGTTTAGTATGTTCCAATGGGTTTAGCAATAGTTGAAAAAATAACAATTTGTCAAATTTAAAATTGCATTTCATATAGTCAAAAATTAATAGAAGTAATTTGGTCATACAAAAAATATGGATTACAAATATTATATTCTATTTCCCAAAATAAAATTTTAATTTTATATTTTGAAATGGATTACAAATATTACAAAAATCTTATAGTAATAAGGGAGGCAAGTGAAATTTTTTTGATACTGCCAGAAACTTCAAGACAAGTTTTTGAAATTATCTCTAGGAACTACCGCGGACTCGTATGGAGTTAAAGTTACTCCACTTTCAGCCCCAGAAAAGCACGATCATGGGGACATGGACGTGCTCCTTAGCAAGAAATAAGGGTAAAATGGTAGATTAGTTATTGTTTATGGGGTCAGGAACCACTCTCTATTAGTTTAAAACTCAGTCAATTGATGCAATCGGACTGGCCGGCCGCCGGCTGGCCCTCCTAGTGCCCTGTGCAATCAATAGATTTTCATATCTTGCGGCAGGCTTGTACTGGAATTTACGTTATAATATTGCTTACTAGGTGATGCATGAATATGAAAGATCATCATTGTACACTGCTATCTTTTTACACATTGTATTGCTGATTAGGTTAGGTGACTTAATACTTTATCCACCTTATTAATTAATTTTCTGAACAAATTAGTGCTGTTAGGCTGGCATTTCCTAGTGCCATGCGCAAGCACTTGATTTTGATAGCTTTTGATTAAGAATCATTTTGCTGTTTTACATTATAATGTTGCTGATTAGGTGATGCAAGAATTAGAAAGATCAATTATTCTCGTTTTTTTTTTCCCATTTTTGTTGCTTTCATCCTCTTTGATTCTTTTCATTTTCGTCTCTTTCATCCTCTCAATTTTCTCTCCTCCCCCACCCCCCCAAAAAAAAAAAAAGTATTTCGTAATTTTAAGAAGTGAAGTACCAAACACGAATAAGCATTGCCATGAGCATTGAGATTAGCACTTTTAGTTGTTTGCACTACTATGCAACCTTTCTTTTTTTTTTTTTCTGATTTTATTGCTAAACTTTAATTTTGTCTATACTTAATCTATGTTCTGGCCAAATATACAGTTTAGTCATGTTCAAATGCGTTTAGCAATGGTTGAAATGATAACAATTTGCTAAGTTCAAAATTGTGTTACATCTAGTGAAAAAGTTAGTACGGGTAAGTTGATCATTTAAAGATTATGACATTGTTGCGGCCCGATTCAAATTTCAGGGGACATAAGAGTGTTACTGATTGAAACTCGAATTTAATAACGAGGAAATCTTATATGCACTAACAGTGTATATACTATCACCCTTTAATTTATGACATGTGTGTAAAAATTGAATTTAAAATTTAAAATTTATATAGTTGTCATTCATCCAATACTGACGGTGTATACATTGTTAGTGTAGGAAAAATTAATCCTTTAATAATTAGGATAAATTGAAAATCCTCCCCTAGGGTTTCTAATGGTATTATTTAGCATCCCCAAACTTTGAAAATATCACTTAACTTTTCTAATTTAAATTTTTGTGTAACATTTATGATTCAAGTTCAAAATATAATGTTAAAAACTCAATTTGGGAGAGAAAAATATAATCTCATTTCAAAATTGCTCCCTTCTTGTGGTCTCCTAACTATCGTAATACACCAATTTTATATCTTAAACTTTTATAAGTTTGGTTGATGCGATTTTTCAATGAAAATGTAAAAGTAATGACGGAGTAGAGAGATCTTTTAATAATTTTTTTGTGTCATTGGTTTGGACAAGAAATATTTAAAAGTATAAATAATGTGCAATACTCGTTAAAATAATTGAAATATTTTACAATAATGAAAATAAATTTTTACACCAGCTTGAAAACAGCACAAAGAAGTTTATGTATAATTTTCAGAATTTTGGATTCTTCTAGTTTTCAAGTCATCAATTTTGACAGAAAAAATCAAAAAATATATATAAATGATTTATAAAGCTCCTTAAATTAACTCAAAACACCTTAAAGAGAATAATTGTTGTTTAGTTGCAAAAACCTCAAATAAACTTTCAATCATTAACCTTTGAATTAAAACACATGCTGCTATATTTTGTCCCTCCAAATCCAAACCTTAATTGTTTTTTTTCAAATTATAATTACAATAGTTCAAAAGTGCTAAATGATAATGCGAGGTGAAGTTTCTAAAATCATCTATTAATGACATATAGGGATAATTTCAGAAACCTCTCGCGAGGTTTCTAACAATTTTACTAGCCTCCCCTAAATTTTATAAAATTACATAAATCTTCCTTGAAATTAAGGCTTTGGTAACAAAATTAGTCCAAGTTAGAAAAAGTAACATTAAAAAAGTACTCTAAAGAGATAGATAAAACTTTTATTTTATTTATATTATATCATAAAAAATTTTATAGTAATTATTTTAAATAATATTTCAAATAACACTCGGGCGGTGTATGAATGTGAAAGTTCATTATTCTACTCTTTTTTTTTTTTTTTTGGGTTCCCTTGTGTTCATTTTTGTCGCTTTCAAACCATCAAATTCTTTATTTTCTCCTCCCTGGCCTGAGCCTGAACCTGACCCTGGCCGCCCTGACAATCAAGAAAGAGATACATTACAATAGTGATTTTTTTCTTTTGTATTTTTCTGCAACAACGACAATCTATCTTACTTCTATTCTAAACTAATTACAAGAGAGTAGAAGTTTAAAAGAATTTGTATGAGAGTTAGAAATGAATCATCAAATTAGATAAATACAATACTACACTCGAATTTTTAAAAAATTGT